CTTTTGTTTCCACTATTTCTCCTTACTTACATAAAATAAATACATTTTGCAGTAGAAAATCACAACTCTCAAGAAGTCCTGTTTTTTGTTTGTAACACTGTCTGTCTTCGAATTTTGCCTTTTAATTATATAATATATGCTTAATATGATGTTTTTCATCAGTGTGTCTGCTCACCTTTACCGCAACATTCAGCCATTGGTCCACGTTTTGCAGTGATGGTTGATTGACAGCATATTTCATTGACAGGGTTGTAGGGCTTCAGCCCACAGCAGTTGGACACCTTTTCACTCAGACCATGAGTAATATTGGCTGTAAAATAAAGACACAAACACTAGAAGCAGTGTAACAGCTGAAAGTGTCATGTTAAGTGTTAAATGGCCCACAGCTGTTCAAAAAAAGAAATGTTGCAATACCTCTGAATAAATGGAAACATCTGACTTAGTGATAGCAGATGAACACATACAGATGTGTGCAATGAATCCAGACTTCCCATCATTACTTTATTGTTCTTTTTCTGTTCATTTGCACTCTGACAAAAAGCATGCTAATTTACAATAACAACAACAAGCACCCAAAAAGTTCAAACATAGCTATCCATAACTGGGTAATGATTTTCTTATTACAGTATCTGCCATGACTTTTTTTTTTTTACCAGAGTAGGGGGTGTATACAGTCAACTTCCAATTTATTCAGTCAATTAAATTCTGTATTAAAAACAAATTTTAGTCTAAAGCGGTACAATTCAACTGCTTCATAAAGCCAGAAAGGTGGTTAAGAGTTTTTGTGCTCTTTAACTTATTTTCTATTAAGATTTTTAATTTAGGTGCTCTTCAGGTGCTTTTCTTTATTGGCCAGTTACAAAGTCAAAATTTCAGTTTCAGTTTAGCTAGATTTCAAGTTCGTTACCTCTGAGAGTGTTTCCGTCTTGTACTTTGCAACAGGTTGCTTTTTCAGGATTGTAAGGTTCCTTTCCACAACAAGACAGACTCGCCCCTGGGTAAAGTTTGTTTCCACAGCAAGCAGCTTCTTGTGTGTCATACTTTGTCCCATTGCAGTCTTTTCTGAAAAGCACAGATAACCAAAGCCTATTATCAATGACAGTAAATTCCATAGACTTAACAGTGCATACAGAAAATTGCTATTTTACACCGTCAAACCTAGAGAGACTACTCCCTTTAACCTTTGTACTAATGCCCTCTATTGGACAACTATGAAAATACACTAAAATGTAGCAACAGGAGCATACCCATAAGCTGTTTATAGTATTTTTAACACCTCCACCCTTTCTGTGCTGACATAAAATTTATCTGAATATAGGACATTTTAAAACCTCCCTCTACTCCAAATGTCAAAAACTGGAAGGTACTTCTTAAAATCCCAGCTCAAAGTCGAAGTTTCTCAGAATTTTTTTTACATTAACTTGTCTTAGTATGTCTTCCATCACATCTTTCCAACTGGGTTAAATGTAGAAGCTCATGGGTACTGGTTTAGCTCTCTGGGATGAGCAGGTGACCACTTGATGTGTGGCTAGGAGCCCAGGTTTGAATCTGACCCATGCCCCTTTACCATACATCTTCCTCACTCTTCTAATAAGGCAGTTTATCCTTAGTTATTTCCATTATAGCTTACAGGACATTTTACAATTTAAAGCTTAATGATTAAAAACAAAAAGGTTTATGTATTCTCAACTGATTCTTTGAAGCTGTGAAACAGACTACCCCATCATCTTGTAGTAGAAAGTGCCTTAGGTGCTCATATTGAGTAGAAAGGCACTATAGAAGTATCAGTCCATTTACCATTTTCCATTAACTCTGCCTCCTGGATGTCAACCTCCTGTGTTCTTTTAGGTGCCACTGTCTCCTTTTCTAGGCACCACATCATAGTGGGTCTCACTACCATTTTGTAAACCTTCCCTTTCACTCTTGCTGCTATTCTTCTGTCCCAAATCACACCTGACATTCATCCCACTTCCACCATGAACCTGTCACTCCTACCACACACCATTGTCTCACTGTTTCCATAGATCTTCTTCATCAGCCTCATATCTTTCTCTGGAATTCCTGATTTCTTCATACAGTATCACATTTCCTCTCGTTGCACCTTGGCACTCCATCAATACTCTCAAAGCTTACATTGCTTTCAGAGTGTTAGTACAAGGATACCTCTCCATTTTTCTCACATTCCTCCACAGGTACGCCATCTGAACCAATTGCCTTTCATTCTTCAGCCTCTTCATTGCTGTCTTCTCTTCCTCCTTACTAATCCATTCAAAGTTCATGGTTCATTTATTTGTCATTGTAAAATACAATATACAAGGTAATTTACTGTACTACTGCTTAAAAAGATGGCCCTCCCTATAGTATAAATAAAAGTTCAATTCAATTCAATTTTATTTATATAGCGCCAAATCACAACCTTAACTTACCACAAGGCACTTTGCATTGTAAGGTAAAAACCCTACAATAATAAAGAGAAAATAAAGAAAACCCAACAATGATATGACACCCTGTGAGTAAGCGCTTTGGTGACAGTGGGAAGGAAAAGTTTCCCACTGATTAAATGCAGAGTAGTGTACAGACAAATATGTGTGTGAAAAATATCAGTGAAGAATAAACACGCCGTGCGTCATGGGACTCCCCCATCAGCTTACACCTACTGTAACATAACTAAGACTATGTCTACACTAGCCTGGATAAATTTGAAAATGATGTATAAGTCTGAAAACACTCCACACTATCGTTTTCATTCGTTTTCACAGAGTTATTCATCCACATTGAAACAGGCGAAAACACTAATGCTCCAGTACTGCACATGCGTGAAACACAAGATGATTCAACCTGCCTCACTTCTGTCAGTCATTTATTTACTTTCTGGCTCTTTGAAACGTCGCGGCAAAATGTTGAGGATAAGCAGCGAATTTTTTAAATGGACTAACAAAGAGGTGGAGTTGTTGCTGTGAGTAACACAAAAGTACAAAGCTGCAAAAGCGAGTGAGAATTAAAGAATTTGAAGAAAAGCTATCTGAAGCATGTACAAACTGATATTAATCTTTACTCTCTGTGTGGACGGAAGACCAAAACAGAGGCAAAAGGATGCATTTTCAAACGAAAACGTGTTAGTGTGGACATGGCCTAAGGGAGAATTCAGGGTCACCTGAACCAGCCCTAACTATATGTTTCCTCAAAAAGGAAAGTTTTAAGGAAAAGTCAAGGAAAGTTAAGTTCCCTGCCTTTTAGTCTTAAAGGTAGAGAGGGAGTCTGTCTACAGAATCCAAACTGGAAGCGTGTTCCACAGAAGAGGGGCCTGAAAGCTGGAGGCTCTGCCTCCCATTATACAATATCTCACAAAAATGAGTACATTTTTGTAAATATACAAATATATCTTTCCATGGGACAACATGGAAGATATGGCACTTTGATACAATATCAAGTAGTCAGTGTACAGCTTGTATAACAGTGTAAATTTGCTGTCACCTAAAAATAACTCAACATACAGCCACTAATGTCTAAACTGCTGGCAACAAAAGTGAATACACCCCTAAGTGAAAGTGTCCAAGCTGTCGTCGAAGTGTCAATATTTTGTGTGGCCACCATTATTTTCCAACACTGCCTTAACTCTGTTGGGGATGAAGTTCACTAGAGCTTCACGGGGTGCCACTCGTCCATGATGACATACTGGAGCTGGTGGATGTTAGAGACCTTATGATCCTCCATCTTCCCTTTGAGGACTTCCCACGGATGCTCAGTAGAGTTTAAGCTTTAGAGAAATGCTTGGCCAGTTAAGTACCTTGCTAAGTTTGTTTAGCAAGGCAGCGGTCTTTTGGAGGTGTTTTGGGGGTTGTTATCATGTTGGAATACTGTCCTATGGCCCAGTTTCTGAAGGGAGGGGATCATGCTCTGCTTCAGTATGTCACAGTACATGTTGGCATTCATGGTTCCCTCAATTAACTATAGCTCCCCAGTGCCAGCAGCACTCATGCAGCCCCAAACAATGACATCCCACCACCATGCTTGACTGCAGGCAAGACACTCTTGTCTTTGTACTCCTCACCTAGTTGCCACCACACAGCCGTGATACTATCTGAACCAAATAATGTTATCTTGGTCTCATCAGACCACAAGTAATCCAGGTCCTTATTCTGCTTGTCTTCAACAAACTGTTTGCGGGCTTTCCTGTGCATTATCTTTAGACGAAGCTTCCTTCTGGGACAATAGCCATTTGATGTTGTGTGGTGTATTGTCTGAGCACCGAAAGGATGACCCTCCACACTTTTGTTGCCTGTGGTTTAGGCAATGATGGCTGTGTGTTAAATTGTTTAGAGAGGCATATACACTGTTAAATACACTGTTAGACAAGTTGTACACTGACTACTTTACATTGTATCAAAGTGTCATATCTTCAATCTTGTCCCATAGGTATAACAAAATATTTACAAAAATGTGAGGAGTGTACTAACTTTATTCAAATGCTGTACTTTTAAATACTCCAGGATCCACATGTAAGCCTACAGTCTTCTCTACTGGAGTGATATGGTACTACTGAATTAGATTCTGAATCAAACAGGGAGCCAATGAAAATAACCCAGTATGCTCTCTCTAGTCCCTGTCAGTACTCTTGCTGCAGCATTTTGGATCAATTGAAAGCACTTCAGGGAGTTGTTAAGATAAGTTGATAATAATGAATGACAGTAGTCAAGCCTAGAAGTGATAAATGCATGAACTAGCTTTTCAGCATCACTCTAATATTCTTGTTTCTCTCTCCCTCCCTCTCCTCTGCCTGGGTGGAACTCCTTGCAAGTTCCCGCTTCTGGCCTACGAACCTGCAAATAATCACTCACCCACTGCTTGTTATACTTCCATTCCAGCTACTACTTAAGACAACAGCTCAGTATTTGTCATTGCTGGATCGTTGCACGACACAGGTCAGTGTAGCCCCAGCTCTTTGCTGTTTATTCTTGTCTCTATCAATCAATCAATCAATCAATCAATCTTTATTTATAAAGCACTTTTTATACAGAAAAAATGTAGCACAAAGTGCTTTACATAGTTAAAAGCAGCCCACCCCACCCTCCAACTCACTCCCCACACTCTCAATACACATATATCCCCCCTGACCCTATGCGACCCATATCCGATCATGGTATGACAGTGTGAACGGCACAAATCCGATATTTTCAAATCCGATCTGGGTCACTTTCGTATGTGGTACTGAATCCGATACATATCCGATGTTTTAGAAAGCGACTGCTGTTTGAACGGTCATGTCGCATTAAATCCGTCTTTTACGTCACTGACACAAGACAGACGCCAATTATCAGCGCCGGAGAAGACATCGCGAACGCTTCCTGGCCATCCGGTGAAACTCCTGGGAAGACAATGTTGGAGAAACGTTAACATTTTATTTGTACTGCATAATCTGCAGACTCTTACAGAAATCTGCAACTATCCTTTGAAGCACCGCTCCTCTCTAAAACAGCAATAAGGGTAATTATTTTGTTATCTACATTATTATGTAGATAAAAAATATAGCCAGAGTCCGCCCTATTCTCTCTCGGGCCAACACGGAGATGCTGATGCATGCTTTTATTACCAGTCGCATTGATTACTGTAATGCCCTGCTCTCTGGTCTTCCTAAGAAGAATATTTCAACTTTACAACTCTTGCAAAACTCGGCAGCTCGTGTGCTGACGAAGACCAGAGGGCGGGCCCACATTACACCGGTTTTAGAATCGCTGCACTGGCTCCCCGTGTGTTTCAGGATCGATTTTAAAGTTCTTTTATTGGTTTTTAAATGTCTTAATGGTCTTGGGCCTTCTTATCTCTCAGATCTGCTTTTACCATACGAACCCTCGCGGACCCTGAGGTCCTCTGGTACTGGCCTTTTGATTGTCCCTAAAGTCAGGACACATACTCACGGAGAGGCAGCTTTTCAGTGGTATGGTCCTCGTCTGTGGAACAGCCTGCCGGAGGAGCTCAGGGCCGCAGAGAACGTACATGTTTTTAAGAACAGGCTCAAGACCCACCTTTTTAATTTAGCTTTTACTTAGCGTTATCTCT